ATGAGAAATGTAATTGTGTTGTATACCTACAATGTACCAATAAAAAAATTTAATACAAAAAAATATATATACATTGCATTGTGGCAATGCGGTAATGAGTTCTAATACTAGGCTGTGAGTATCTTGATGGCAGGGCCATGTCTGTTTGCTTAGCATTTTACCCTTGTATCAAGCAGTGTATGGTACAAAACTTCAAATAAATATTTATGCAATTAACAAAAATTACCTAAAAGATGCTTTATTTTTATTTATATTGTTTTTTGTAACTGGGGATTGAACTCTGGTCCTTCCACTTGCAAGGCAGGCGGTGGAACCGCTGAGCTAAATCCCCGGCCCTAAAGATGCTTTATTTTTAAAAGAGGAAATTTATGACTGGCTTTCAATATGAAGTAAGTCCCTGACTTGCAAATGAGTCCCATTCCAAGAGAACATTCCTAAGTCTGACAAAGTGAGTCTTACGCACCTTTGACACAAATATACAACGTAAAGCATAAAAAAACCAACCCTCCACATCATCACTGCTTTTCCTCTTGCTTCTGGACATCCTGGGCTCTGATTGAGCAGTGTACTACCGTGCACTATAGCACTATACAGTAACCACACAGGAGCACAACTATGTGCAGACAAGTGAGCTACTTCTGCTATTTGTTCACATCTACAAGTGTTCATAATGCGAGGTCTATTCATATAAGTTAGCAACTCAAATGTTTGTTAAGTCAGGGACTTACTGTATTTTAAATTCAACCTCAAGACAAGTTGGTTGTTCTTCAGTGGAGAACGTGGTTGAAGCAATACTCAGAGTGATATGCCCCAGTGGAGCACTGGATTTTGTTGCTGCATAATGTAAATCAGAATGGAGCATAGATGCATACTAACGAGAAAAGGAACCAAATGGAAGGGTGAATGGTTTTAGGTAAATCCATTAAGTGTTAGAAAATGTTTAAAGTATGTGTCTTCCTGAAAATGGGTGAAATATTAGTAGTTTGTATATACTTCCTAGCTTGCATGTAGAGAAAAAAAATGTTTTTCTCTTTTTCTAGGTAGGTTTTACCTCCTGCATCCCATATGTTTTGGGAGGCAGTGGTGGATTGTTAATAGTCATACCCTCTTCCCCGCTCCTCCACAGAGTGGTACATTATATCCCTTCACAAGCGAATTTCTGCCTCCTAGGAACTTAAACCCTGAGCAGACTGATAAATAGGGGTTTAAAGTTCAACATTACCACTATCGGTATCTAAAATGACTGGCCATGGTTTTCTGGCTGAGATCCTTAGTCTAGTTTGTTTCCTGGGACGACTGCTTCAGTTTTTCCTTTCTTTCTGCAACTTTCCACTAATTCCTTTTTGCTTAAATTAGGCAGATCAAGACTTTGTGGCTTACAACCAAAATATCATAACTGATATAACATCTATTTTTCAGATGACATTATTTAACTCAATCAAGTCCCCCACACAGTGGTCAAATCAAATCCTCTCCCATGGCTCTCATTTCTAGATTTTGATGAAACAAGTTTATAGTGCTCTTCTGGTATAAGAGCATCTCACTTGTATTGAATAGTCGACTTCTTCATGGAGGATATTTCCTTGTAAGAATTTTATTTATAATAGAAAAATATTCTAATACTTTTAGAAATGAAAATCAATAAATCTTTATGGATTGACCTGCAGGGCAGAAAAGTTAAACTAGAAATCCTAAGAAATTTGTATATAATTAAAAATAACTAGAATGCAAACCAACAGAAAAAGTACTTTATTTATAACACCATTTTGTAAACAATCACACTGTGCAGTTTTTAATTAAACAATAACATGTTTTCCCTATGGATTTATAGCAAACTCTATGTAAAGTCAATGAGTTAATACAAGAGAGAAAATGAATAGGGTGAAAAATTTTTGAAAGTGTCAAATTACAGCACTTGATACAAAGACAATAACTATCTGTACCATAAAAATTTACATGCCACAAAACATTAATTTATAATTTAAAATA